TAATAATGAGTTCTCGATACGTAAGAATTGTAGGAGATCAGAAGTAGTATAACATGCTACACCCTAGCGTCGCAGGTATACCGCATCAGAATTCAACACAATCTCCGCACCGTATTGGGACAAAAACTCGTCCGTGAATCGACAAAAGTACGGATGGTGTCAAGGTGTACTTTGGTCCATAGGCAACTTGCTTTGTCTCAAGGACACTCTACTATGGGCCATTACCCGCTGCTTCACTGGTTATGGGCCGTATCTCTAGGTCTAAAGTTGGGCTATACTTATCGACGTGAAATTAACGATTACATAAACCCGATATCTACCAATAGACGACAGATTCCAACAGCATTGTTGGAGTCTCATGAGATATAAATTCAAAATCCGATTGACACAATGTTCTATAATAAGATTTTAACTCGTTGTTGATAAGCACGCAACACTGAGACATATATGTTCCAAACCCAGGGACTAAACCAAGACCCAGCATTGTATAGCGAAACCAATACCAACTTCCCATGAGTTACAGAAGTACAAATGGTAAAAGCTATATGGAGCGGGGTCAGTTTGTTACCTAAGGAGACGAGAGCGGTAGAGCTGACCTCGGCGTCATCCATACAGAAGCGACTCCCTGGTGACACTTTATGACGTGACATCAACGGTGGAGACAGGTGCTGTGGAAGAAGCCAAATTAGTGCCGCTAGAAGTGGTGCTTGTCGCAGGGGGCCATGGATAACAAAGTGGCGTGTTGGGCACTATCCAAGAGGTAATTCATAAGTATTAATGTCACAAAAAATTGACGGGAATGGTCGAAGAACGTACGAATATCGTCGCAGGTGACCCAGGGATTCGCGTCGCGGATGGCTTGACCACCAACAGCATAGTTGGGGCCGAGCATTATTCCAATCTGATCGCAAGTATCAGGAGGATTAACCCATACATTAAAAGGGCAGAGAGGTGTGGCTCTCGAAGGGAAGGGGATAGGAGGGATGCAAATGGATGTTCCCTCCGGGATATTGTGGCAGTCTATGAGTCGGTTAGCCGCCCAGATCTGGTAATCAAGGAGGCCCAGTGGAAGTCCAATAGAGCGACAAGTATCACCTGCCACAGAGGAATAGGTACTATTGCATGGTGGTATTTCTGGAGGACCCGTATATTCCACCGGCGGACGCCATTCAGGTGGGATGCAAATTACAGGGCTCACTGTATAACGAATCAATGATCCCTGTGTGTTGGAGGCCAGCAATTGGACAAGAAATAAAACACATACAGTTGTTGCAGTCGAGTCCTGGATTATAGTCTACCAGTTCCGACACGGTTATATTGTATTGTGTGGCAATAGAATTGCACGTGCGACTCCCTATATGGTAGATGAGATCTCGACACTCCTGGCGAGGGAGAAGGTCGGGGAACGTGATGTTGTGGGTTGGTGTCGTTGGCTCGGGCACAGGTGACGCATGAGTATACGTTAAAATTACGAGACCACTGATGAGCTTGGCGAGTGAGATGAACATAGGTGCGACTTGGGTTGGCTGTTGTCTGACGTTTGCCAGTGACTACGCTTCAACGAGGGTGGAAGGGAATGTCGTTCATGAAATAACGCCTTGAACCCTTTTTAAGTCGTTCTAGGAGTTTGAATGGTTATAATTCGGTCCTGTAGAGACGGTCAGAAGAGAGAATTATGTAAACGCCCGGAGAAATGCATGCGCGCTGCACTCACAGTCGGATTGTTGACACTCCAGCGAAAAAGGCTGCTATGGCCGTTTAAAAGAAGAATTTGAATGAGTCAGTAAGCCGGTTCCGCGTAGGCATCCAATCCTAGTAGGCACTTCTAGAGAGATGTGGCAATAGTCACTTGGAACATGGCCTCACTTGATTTTAGATAACCTATTCGAGTACATTTTTCTGTCTGTAATGAGCTTCAGACTCCAATTTTGCTGAGACGGGTAACCTGTAACGTGCAGACGGCAACTTTGTCAGAATACGGCAGACTAGAAAACGTTGCTAGGGCTTACTAACCGAGTTACACTGTCTTGACATCTCCAACACCTCGGCGTTTAGGTTATTTGGGAAGCCAATATCAAATAAAACTGCCTTCAGACCAACAGGGAGCGAGTATTTTTGGGTGCGCTCCAACTGACCAGTAATTTCCCCGAAACTGTGATGCTAGTTCATTTTCTCAGTGATTTGAACCTTTTTCTTTGTGGCTTCTTTCGATATCACCACCAGATTACGTTCATCGGGAACCACATCGACCTGTCGTTTTCTCCGAATCAACCTCGTGAAGTTGGCACCAAAGCAGTCGGAGTAAAATGTCTTCTGTTCTCACGGAAAACTGGTCAAGCGAAATGGAGAGGCTGTTGGAGTTTGGCAGCTGGTGGACGGCGGACGGTTCAGAAAGGGTCGATTCCAAGATGTCTCT